ACCAAGCCAGTATTACAGGAAATGTTGGAGGGACTTCTTTAAGAAGAAAAAACATGTATCAAAAACAGGAATAAAGAATGGTAACAACTGCATTCCTATAAATAAGTACCTTAAATGAAAAAGAATTAAGTGCTCCAACCAAAAGATAGAGTGGCTGAAAGGATAAGAAAACAAGACCCCTACATATGAAAAGGAAGAGGATGGAAAAAGATAGTGCTTTGATGGACCTAGAAGGTATTAAAGTCAGACAGAGAAAGATAAACACTATATGATTTCACTTATATGTGGAATCTAAAGAATAAAAAGAACAAATTAATCAAAACCAGACTTACAAATATAGTGGACAGTTTGGTGATGTACAGAAGATAGGGAGGATTGGGGGGCTGAGAGAATGAAGGATTAAATAAGTACAAATTAGTAGTTGATTAATGGTCACGGAGATGGGGAACACGGCAAAGGGAATGCAGTTAGCATTAATATGGGGAAGGAGGGAGAAATTGGGGAATCATTTTATGAACTATATAGATGTCTAACCAATGTACTGTATAACCAATATACTTGAAACTAATTAAATTAATTAAAAAAAACTGCTAATGAGTCATATGTATAAATAACTATGAAAGGCACTTTTTCACTTATACTTAAATATTTCTGCATATGGTACTCTGGAGACTGGCTTAAGAAGGTGAAAAGTTGTCATTTTCTCATCTTTCTCTACTGTGATGCTCTCAGTGTTTGGGGCTCATACGCTGTGCCATCTTTCAGATTTTCCTGTAAGGGGGAGATGGTAAACATATTCAGGCTTTCATGAAGTTCGCAATGTAAAATAGAGATGTTAAGAAAATTTGATTTAAAGATTAGGTCTTTTTAAATAAACCTGAAAGATTTTTTTTCATATGTGTGCTGCAAAAGCAGGCACTAAGCTTGATTTGCTGTGAATAATTTACAGTTTTTATATCTTAACTTTGGGTAATTAATATATAACTGTAGTTATATTTTAAATGTTCTTCAGGGTTCATAAATTCATGGAACGTGAAGGTCGCAGACCTCGTCTTCTTGTGGCAAAAATGGGACAAGATGGACATGACAGAGGAGCAAAAGTTATTGCTACAGGATTTGCTGATCTTGGTTTTGATGTGGACATAGGTCCTCTTTTTCAGGTAATGAGAATTGTTGGAGCTGATTTCAAAAGTATATCATAAGTCGCTTTCATTTAGGAAAAGTCATAAAAAGATAATAGACCCATGATGATGTTTTAAAGTTGTAAAAGAAGAACTTGAATTCAAAAAAATTCCCCAATTTATTTTTGAATGTATATAACGTAATTAATTAGGACAGAAATAAGAATAAACTTAACTCATGTTAATGTACTTGTTACTCAGATTGTAAAAATCATTGTTAATTCTGAACTAAAATTTTTATTATGTTCCTGAAACTGTAAAGATTTGTTTCAAAGATCTTATTGTACTACTTATTAAGATTTGACTAATATTTTGTGGGAAAGATAGCACATATCAAATTTCTGGAAAGTGTTTTGAAAGGGAAATCAAGCATCAGCGTGAGCTTGATTTATAATTAGATTTTCTCTTTTTTTACTCTCTAGTAGTATTTTATTTAACTACAGAATATTAGACCTTGCAGGAAAATAATTTGTTGGAAGTAAATGAAGCTGAATTTGTAAATAGAGTATAGAGACATTAATCATCTACTTCCGCCCCTCCCCCCCCCAAAAAATTGGCAGAGTAAAAGGTTATCCATTATATATTTAGTGATCATCTACCAGATGCTAGGTTCTGAGTTAAATAAGATAGAATTTTTGTCTTCAGGGAGGTTAGAAGCTCCTGACAGAGATTTACTTACCAGTAATCACAGCATAATGATAATTACTATAATTAAAGTTGGGACAAAGGGTTTGTACAAATATCCTGAGAACTTATGTTTCAGCTATGCCTTTCAGTCACTGGGAGAACAAAGCAGAGAAGGGCATGCTAAGAAGAAGGATTGGCTTGAGCAGAGGTGCAAGGGTACAGAGCTATGAGATGACATGATGCCTTCAGGTAACTGCAAGAGGTTTGGTAAAATTAGAATACAGTGCTTAGGATGGTGTGTAGATTATAAAGAATAGGGTTATATGCAATTTTAAAGAGTTTGAACTTGATTCCAAATGTGTATGGATAGAGTGACACAATCAAATTTATACTTTAGGAAACTCATTTTCTAGTAAAATCACTTTCTGAAGTGGATTGAGAGAAGCTGTGACTAGGTGCAAGGAGTCCAGTTCAGTAATCAGAGTGAGAAACAACAAAGGCCTTAACTAAGGCAGTATGAGGGTATTCGCAGAAACAAAAAGTCAGCTAGGGTTTTGAAGAAAGTTTAATGAAGGAGATGTTTATAGATATGCGGACAGGCTTAGGAGAACGAGCTTGTGGAACATTCAGATGGACTTGACCATGCAAGTTAGATATACATGTCTAGAGCAAGGAGGGGCCTCAATTATACACAAGATTTTAAGATTTATTAGTATATAAATGTTACTTAAAACCATGAAAACGGATCTAATTTTCTGTTAAGAGTATATACAATGAGATAAGAACTTGAACATTAAAAGGAAATAGAGTAGAAGGAAGCAGCAAAGGAGCTAAAGGAAATGAGATAAATAATGGCATAAAAACTAAGGAAGAAGTCTCAAGGAGGGGGAGGTACTATTATTATATAATGCAGCGACATCAACTAAGATAAAGACTAAAAGAGTATTCATTGCATTTTTACCAGTGAAGAAGTAAACCTTTCTGAAGAGGCCCAGCCTCTGTAGAATCTTCCATAAGAGTTTTCCCTTTTTGAATTTTTGAGTATTACTCTAGAGAGTCTAGAAGCAATTGTTACTGTAAAGTTAGCCCAAACTTCTGAAGATATGTCCTTGAACTGTGTTGGTAGGTAAATTTACAAAATATGTTTAGAGTCGTATACATTTACAGTAGGTTTTAATCAGAACCTCAGATGTATTTTGGATTAAATTAATGTATATATTTAGATTGCTTTCATCATTTAAGTTGAATACTTTTATATTTTTGTACTTATGTTCTACCATTTTACTTAAGTTTTTTTGTTTGTTTTAAATAGCAATCCAATATAATGCATTTCCAATATTTAGTAGTTACCTTCTGGGAAATATTTTTTCATAAAATAAAAATAATTTTAAAAAATTGTTCTCGGCCATTGGCACATAAAATAATTTTTTAAAAGCTGAAAGTTCATTTCCTCATTACATTTCATGTATAAAAACATAATTTTCCTTTTAGCACCACAACTTTGTTAACATAATACTGTTATTTAAAAAAACTTATCTGTGTTTGAAGTTACAATCCTGCAGTTCTCTGATGACTAATCAAAATTAGATTTGAAGTTTTAAAATTTTCAACATAAAATACAGGTTGTATAAATATAAAGCATGGAACTGAATTGTTAAAATGGAATTTTAACCTAATCAATTTTGGTAACATGGATGATATGAATGACAAATCATGCTTAAATCAGTTAAATTTAAGCAATCAATGGCAAGACTATGCACAATTTCCTTAAAGGTTTTAATTTTATGTTTGTATTTTTCACAAACATAAAATTACCTATATGTTATGTGACTTACCTAGAGAGATCTTTTTGAATGTGGTTTCATTACTGAAAGTGTAGAATCTTGTTTCCACACTAAAATTATGAGCCTAAAAATCTTGTCAAACTCAGAAAATTAACAGATTTTGATAATTTTTTTGTAGTTACAATTGTGGGTGATTTCTGAGGTGGCCTTATCCTTCCCAAATTTCTCAATTTACATTTTCTTCACAATGAGAAACTTGAAGGCATCATTATATGCAATGATTTAAATACGTGTAACCTATCAAAGCAATGTTTCAAACTCATTGCTTTGAGTAGATATGATCTTGTTGGGTAACTCAACTTATAGTTGAATGTTTGAAAATATCCTTTATGATTCTGTATCCCAAACTGGTTAAATCTAGTTAATAAATGAGAAACACATCCCCTTTGACACTGTCCCTTGTTTACACATTTATGTGGTTGCTGTAGTTCTTTAATTATTTTCTAGATTTCTCACAACGTTATTTCGATCTATATATTTCTGTTAATTTAGTGTCTCCTTGGGTGAATGAGTCCTGGAGCTTCCTATCCATCATCTTGTAGACATCGCTC